TCCCTCTCTCTCTTCTCTCTCTCTCTCTCTCTCTCTCTCTCTCTCTCTCTCTCTCCCTCTCTCTCTCTCTCTCTCTCTCTCTCTCTCTCTCCCTGTCTCTCTCTCCCTCTCTCTCTGTGAAATTCACACCTAAGGGATATCGTTGTTTCCTGTTTTGTTACTGTTTTTTGGGTTCTGTTTTTTTATGTATATCTATGTTCACCACCATTAGCTTGTATCCTGTTTGGTTATTATGCTTTTCTCCTCACTGCCTTGCTTTCTTTTTCCATTTTCTTCGCGATTTGATAATTCTTTTCTCCTCCCCCCCGGTTCCATATTTTCCTCTGCTTCATTCGTTGCTATTTGTTTTTCCAGATTTTTCTTTGACTTTCTTTCCATATGTGTACATCTGCAAAGCGAAGAGTTCATGTGAAGTGGATAGTAGTGGTGACTTGTAAAATTGTATTGTATTGATGTTCACATGTTTTATTGTTTTTCAGTTTGTGCATTAGGTTTTTTCTTTTTTTTCTTTTTGTGAATGTGTGTCATGTTGTATATGCGTTTGTATGTATGTATGTGTGTGCGTGTGTGTGTGCTATGTGTACGTGCACTCATCCACATCCATCGCAATAACAATGCATGTCTGTGAATTTTAAAAAGATGGCTCAAGTCTATCATTTCACATAAGGTTCATTGGCGCACAAAGTGACTCGTGTGCGACCACTTCGAACTGGATTTGATAGGTTTGACCATTTTTTTAGAATATACAGACTGTGTTGTTTCATGTGACTGTTGATTATTCAAAAGCCAAGCTATTGACCTCCCCCCCATGCTAGGCAGGGGATGGCGGTAGCTTAGTTTTTGGGTAGTTAACTGTCACGCATTTTATTACCATATGTACATATGCATCAAGACGTCTCATACCGTACATTATGCATCTTATAGCATCATTTATGCATTAAGCATGCATCTATTCATCATTATCATAATAGCATCTAATAGTAAAACATGGACGTATTATATTAAAAATTATGCATCTTATAGCATCATTTATGCATCAAGTGTGCATCTGTTTATCATTACCACAATAGAACAGTAAAACATGCAACCAGTACAGCAAATCTGCACTAACAACTGCAAAAATATCACATGATTTAATGCACTGTAAACAGTACCAAACTGCTAAACATGCATACAGTATGTGAAGAGTATTACTGTAGCTTACGAATTTTAATTTCATGATTTTCATAAATTAATTAATCATGAAAATAAAATTTGGCAAAATCGATCGTAAAGGGTTGCTTCGCAACCCAAAAAAAAAAACGGGGGAGGGGGAGAGGGGAGGGGGGGGGGGAGGGGAAGGAAGGGGGAGGGGTTGGGAAGGGGAGGGGAGGGACGGAAGAGAGCATGAGGTGGAGAGTATCTAAGTTAGAGTTGTAGGATGGAGGGAGGAAGGAGAGGAGGACAGGGAGGGAAGGGGTGTAATGAGATGGGAAGGAGAGTTGGAAGGAGAGGAGGGAAGGAGATTGAAGGGACGGGTGGGAGATGAGGCAAGGGTAAGGAGGAAGGTGAGGGGAATGAAGAGTGGAAAAGGGGGTTGGGTGAAAAGGGGAAGGACGAAAGGACAAAAGCAGGGTTTTGGTAACAAGCGGTTGGGGAGCGAGCAAGGAGAAGCAGACAAAATAGACATGTGAGTCATGCCACATCACAAACACGTGATCACACGCACCGTGCCACATCCGAAGGCTGTGGTTGTGATGCCGATGATCTGACGGTAGTTGTAGCACGAATCAAAAGGGGAGCATGTCTTTGTGGATGGCTGTTAGCGTTGCAGAGAAGGTAAGCACAATGGGGAGAGAAAGGGGGATGAGATGAGACAGGGGAAGAAGGGGAGACATTGACCAAAAGGAGATGATGGGGTGAGAGCAAGGAACAGGTGAAAATGCAGCTCTAACAACAAGTTAGGGAACTCACATCATAGTTCTGCTTCTCGTAGAGCCACGCGGTGATGGCGTCAGGGGGAGTGCTGCCGACAGGGTCGGCAGCAGCTGACTCAAACCCGTACCAGCTCACACCCCGAGCCACAGCCGTAGGTCCAGCGGCAGGCACGGCACCAGGTACGGTTTGTAGCGGCTAGAGGGAGAAGCGAGCCAAAGGCGTCTAGAGGGGCGGAGCAGAGGGATGCTGTCTGATTGGCCGCCCACTGCTGCGCTGACGTGGCCAAGGCGTCGCTCCAGGTCAGCGCTGACAGGCTGGCAGACGCCCTGATTGGACGAGAGCATGGTGTTGGCAGAGAGGCAAGTGACAGTGGGATTTTGTAAGAAATGGTGGGTGATAAGAGCGGTGAAGAGTGGTGAAGAGCGGCGAAGAGCAATGGAAGGTGGTAAAGAGTGGTTAAGTGAGGGTAACCATAAAAAAAAAAAAAAAGAAAAACACCACCACCCATGGACACCATGCACATGCATCCATGCGGTCACACAAGCAGACAAAATACTCCGCCCACCCCACCCACCTCTCTCTGTTGATAAGCGCCAGCAGCTCCGCCCTCCCCCCTCCCCCCAGCACAGCCGCCCCCGAGCAGGGGGAGGGGATGGGGGGGGAGGGGAAGGGGGGCGCACCACAGGGGGAGGGGGCCGGGGTGGGGGGGAGCGGGTGGTAGGGGGAGGAGGGGAGGGAAGGGGAGCGGAGAGGCGGAGAGGGAGGAAGGAGACGGGGGGGAGGTGGGGATGGGGGAGGGTTGGGGGAGCGAGGGGGGGAGGGGGGAGGGGAGGGCGGAGAGGGAGGGGGGGGAGGGGAGGCGATCCAGGGGTGCTGGTTGGAGGAGGCTTGGGAGTTGAAGAGGCAGAGGAGGGCGAAGAGGGACGTTGGGGAGGGTGCCTTGGCCTCTGAACATGTGACCTGGGATGAGATGCGGTAGGTATGGATAGGGGGAGAAGCAGGGGGGGAAGCAGGGGGGGAAGCAGGGGGGGAAGGGGGGGAAGCAGGGGGGGAAGCAGGGGGGGAAGCAGGGGGGGGAGCAGGGGGAGAGACGGAGGGGGAGATAAGGGGAAGAGAACGAGGCGGGTTTTGAGTTGACTCGAAAGGCACAGGCAGAGGGAGAGGCGCAAGGGCGAGTGTTGATTGGTTAGAAATAGCACAAGGCAGAGTGTCATGGGTGAATGTTGTCGGCGCTACAACCTAGCGTGCCACACCCCACGGCTGTAGCAGCCTTCCACCCACCATGCCACACCCCACGGCTGTAGCAGCCTTACACCCACCATGCCACACCCCACGGCTGTAGCAGCCTTACACCCACAATGCCACACCCCACGGCTGTAGCAGCCTTCCACCCACCATGCCACACCCCACGGCTGTAGCAGCCTTACACCCACCATGCCACACCCCACGGCTGTAGCAGCCTTCCACCCACCATGCCACACCCCACGGCTGTAGCAGCCTTACACCCACCATGCCACACCCCACGGCTGTAGCAGCCTTACACCCACCATGCCACACCCCATGGCTGTAGCAGCCTTCCACCCACCATGCCACACCCCATGGCTGTAGCAGCCTTCCACCCACCATGCCACACCCCACGGCTGTAGCAGCCTTCCACACAATCTGACGGTAATTGCTGCAGAGCTCCCCAGGTGCACACGTGTCAGCTTCTGACTGGCGAATGGGACATTGGGGAGAGGGGATAGGACAGGAGGGAAGCGAAGGGAAAGGAGGCGAGTCAAGACGGGGTGAACAGACAGAAGGGAGGAGGGAGGAAAGGAGGAGGGAGGAAGGGAGGATGGAGGAAGGACGAGGAAGGAGGAGGGAGGAGGGAGGAGGGAGGAAGAAGGAGGGGAGCTGCTGTGTGCTGTTAGGCACGTCACTGAAAGAGCTGCTGTGTGCTGTTAGGCACGTCACTGAAAGAACAGAACACTGGCTTCATGTAGCTTCAACTCATACTCAAGGGCCGGGAAACACAGGCAGGCAACTTTTGAGGCGCCTCAAAAATAGCTGCTGTGTGCTGTTAGGCACGTCACTGAAAGAGCTGCTGTGTGCTGTTAGTCACATCACTGAACGAACAGAACACTGGCTTCATGTAGCTTCAACTCATTTTCAAGGGCCGGGAAACACAGGCAGGCAACTCACGTTGTAGTTCTGCTTCTCATAGAGCCACGCAGTGATGGCGTCAGAGGGAGTGCTGCCGGCAGGGGAGGCAGCAGCCGACTCAAACCCGTACCAGCTCACACCATACGCACTGCCGCTGCCGCCGCTGCCGCTCGTGCTGTTGCTCGTGCTGTTGCTCGTGCTGCTGCTACTGCTCTTGCTGCCACTCCCACTGCTGCCTTTTTTGCTGCTGCTCCGCTTTCCCACCAGAGGCGAGGTTGTGGCAGCAGCGAAGAGAGAGGGTAGGGTGGCAGCGGCTACAGGCATGGCTGAGGTGAACGAGAGGGCCGTGCCGAAGGGGTCTAGAGGCGCGGAGCACAGGGATGCTGTCTGATTGGCTGCCCATTGTTGTGCTGACGTGGCCAAGGCGTCGCTCCACGTCAGCGGGGACAGGCTGGCAGAGGGGACTGCTGACCTGGGAATGGTGAGGAGGGGTGGGTGGTTGGGGAGATAGAATGAGAGGGAGGGGAGAGAGGGGGATGAGAGAGGGATTTCAGGGAGACAATCACACATCAACGGGAAGCAAGACAACAAAAGGCTATGACTTTATATTCCAAAAAAAAAAAAAAAAAAAAAAAAAAAAAAAAAAAAACCTTCCCACTATGCAACCTTCCGCCCACCCTTGCCTCACCATGCACCATGCTATACCCCCCTTCCTCTCTGCCCCCCTTGCTCACCTCGCTCCATTCATCCCCTGCAGCAGCGTCTCCCTCCCCCCCTCCCCCACGCTTGTTACCCCCAAGGGGGAAGAGCGCGGAGGGGGAGGGCTGGGGGAAGCGGACGGTGGAGGGCGCGGGGGTGGGCTCCGCACAGGGGGAGGGGGAGGCGGGGAGGCTTTGGGGGGAGGCGCGCGGGGGGGAGGGGGGGAGGGAGTGGGGGCGGAGCGAGGTGCGGGCGGGGGGGGGCGAGGGGGAGGGGTGGCGGGAGGGGGAAGGGAGGGGGAAGGCGGGGAGAGGAGGGAGAGCCAAGGGTGTTGGTTGGGGAGGTTGCCGGGAGGATCGAAGTAGCAGAGGAGGACGAAGAGAGACGTTGGGATGGGTGCGTTGGCTTCAGTGCATGTGACCTGGGGGCGAGAGACAGGGGAACGGGGAGAGGGTGAAGGGAAAAGGGGGAAGGAGCAAAGGGAGGGAAGATGGGTGAGGTAGGAGTGTGAGAACGTGAGAGGTAGTAACAGAGGAGGACGAAGAGAGACGTTGGTATGGGGGCGTTGGCTTCAGTGCATGTGACCTGGGGGGGGTGAGAGAGCAAGAGGGGAGGGGGCAAAGGAGGGGATTGGGAGAGTGCGAAAGGAGTGGAAGTAGCAGAGGAGGACGAAGAGAGATGCTGGGATGGGTGCGCTGGCCTCACTGCATGTGACTTGGGGGCGAGAGAAAGCAGGGTGGGATGTGATAGGCTGTAGAAAAATATGTACCAACTCCAACACCCAGCCCGTATGACACATGACACCCCACCGCACCACACCCCATCCGACGTCACAGCACCGCACTGCACCACTACACCCGACCTCACGACACCACCACACCGCTCTGCATCTCACCATGCCGCAGCCCACTGCAGTGGTGGTTCGCCAGACGATCTGACGGTAGTCCTCACAGTCGTCCGTGTCCCTGCACTCGTTGCGCGCGGGCTGATGGGGCAATTTGGGGTGGAAAGGCAGCGCAGAGGGGGAGAGGGAGGGCTTTTGGCGTGGTGCGCCACACGATCTGACGGTAGTCCTCACAGTCGTCCGTGTCAGAGCACTGGTTGCGTGCTGGCTGATGTGGGGAGATGGAGGGAAGAGAGTAAAGGGCGATGGGAGGGTGGGGGAAGTGTGAACAGAGACGCGACGAGGCACACGTAATTCGCACCAACGTTGGGGAATCAAACGAAACACATATGGGTCTTCTTCTCATATCGCACTCACTCACATCGTAAAAGGCCTTCTCGTAAAGCCACGCAGTGATGGCGTCAGAGGGAGTGCTGCCGGCAGGAGACGCAGCAGCCGACTCAAACCCGTACCAGCTCACACCATACGCACTGCCAGGTTGCTGCGACCAGAGTGACAGCGTGCTGCCGAAAGCATCCACTGGCCCGGCACACACCGAACCTGCTTCTTCGGCTGCCCAGGCCTGCGCCGAGCCTGCCAGGGTGTCGCTCCAGGTTAGGTTCGGGAGGGCGGCGGATGGGCGTGGGACGGCTGTGGCTGAAACGGATGCTCTGATTGGTGGAGGGGAAAGGGATGGGGAAGAGGAGATGAGGGGGAGAGAATGGAAAAAGAATGAGGGAGTGGAGTGGTAAGGAAGTTGTGAGGGTGGGTACGAAAGGGACCAGAGGAGTGAGAGTGAGGTGAGAGGAGAGTGTGCTCAAACAGCGTTTCATCTCAATTGCACTTGTCGTTACATCTCTCACCCGTCGCCCCCCGCCTCACCCTCATCCGTCACTACCCCGTTTCGTCTCGTCCCTCCCCCGTTTCATCTCACCGCGCATCGTTCATCCGACTCAGCAGCATCGAACGGTCAGCAGAGCTCAACGTGGACGGCACGGATTTTGGCCGAGTCATTGTCGCCTTGATCTTCACCGATGATTCTAACTCGACTCTCCTGCTTCCCGCGGACGGGGCGGCGGGCGGAAGCGCGGCCACGCGGGAGAGGGTGACGCGGTTGCGCCACACGGGGGCGGAGGCGGGGGATGGGGGAGAATGCGCGGAGTGGAGGAAACGCGGAAGGTGCTGGGGGAGCGCGGGGGCGGCGGAGGCGCGGCGCGAGTTGGCGGCGGAGGCGGAAGGGAGGGCGGATGGGTAAAACGAAGCGGGTGCGCTGTGCGATGATGTCGGGGTGGACTGTAACGAGGATGGAAGGAGCGTCGCGGCGGTGGATTGCTCGTGGCGGGAGAGGCGGGAGTAGCGGAGATTGTTCGCCCCTGACGCGCGAATGGGGGGGGGGGGGGGGGGGGTGGGGGAAGCGGAAAGCAGGGATGGGGAAAGAGCAGGGCGGAGAAGAGGAGGAAAAGGAGATTCGCTAACGTGCTCAGTGCACGCAGCATTCGTTGAATGCGACGAACTTCGGCACTTCTACCGTCGATCGACGAGACTGGCCTATTTATGTTTGCGTCGTATATATCAGCCCGTCGACTCACGAGGAGACTAAAAGACGACGCAAAGGCCCGCTCGTCAATTTAATATGTCGGCGCTCACATGAATTCGCGAAGCCAGCGCCGCTCGAGGCGCCTTCCAACGGCCGTATCGCGAGAGCCATCAGCGCCAAAGCGACGACTTGCAGATTGCGCGACAACTGTCGTTCCCTGCGACGGCTGCGACTCGTCGTCACGCAACGTCGGAAAACCATCGCCGGACCCTTTGGGTGACAAAACGCAATTTTTTCGCGGCGTCGCCTGGAGTGAACGAAAGCTCGCGATGCTTTTTCGCGCGGAAATGAATCCTCGACGGAAATTCCGACGTCGTCGGCGATTATCGACCGCTGACAGGCCGCAAGCACGCCATACCCTCTTCGTGCTGAAAAACGCGATTTGCTTCTGTCGTCGCGGGCGTAGAGGCGACGCGCGCAAAACAATGTCAGGCGAATTACATGCTCAGTTCGCACAAGGGTGTGCTGTGCGCACGCGCGACCCACGGGACGAATCGGTGGGGCAAAACAAAGTGCGGAGCCTTACGACGTAAGGACTACGCATCGAGTGAAGAAAACAAATAATATGAATGTATGGAGAGGATGGTTGGTGGGTTGTGGTATGGTTGCCGTGAGGTGAGATTGTGAGTGTTGGTTATCTGGAGGTAGATAGCTGTCTCCTAGACCGGAATCTGGGCCAGACAGCTTCAGTTCTGCCATGAAAATCAGAAGCGTACTGAGCAACCACAAGAATGCGATGCATGTACGACAAATGTGACAAGACAATAACGACGTCGGTTACCCGCTTCGTGACTAGAACAAAGGGCTTGTGACGTTGGCGAAGAATGGTTACGTGCGTTTGCGGAAATCGCTCCGTCGGCGGCGCAATCCGAAGAACTGAGCGGCGAAATTGGCACTGTCGCGCGATGCGCTCGTCGATGTGGCTGGCTGACACCAACAACCTCCCAGGATCCGTGAATTTGTCAGATAGCCACCAGCCGTTGGGAATTGATCAGACTGGGGCCCCGGGTTAGCAGAAACAGTGCCAACTTGGGGCCTCGTGAGTCGCGACCCTACGAAATAGGCCCGAAGCAAATCACAAGACTGGGCAGCAGGTCCGAACCTGGCAAACTCGCCAGGTCACCACCTACTGCCTTGGGTTTGACGGAAATCGCTAGCACCCCACACCGCTGGAAGCACAACAATCCGTCAAACCAACACAGTCTGATCGAGATACAGCACAAGCAGCATGTAACAAACAACTCGGAATTATTACGGAAACATAAGACTGCCAGAACACAAAGAGCTGAAACATGAAAATTAATAAAATGAGTGGGCACAAAATGGGGAGGTTCATGACCTTTTTCTGTTAGAGAAATTTCAACCAACCTACCCACATTCTTTCAGAATATGTATACATACATATATGATTTACATGCAAGTGCTTCCCTTGTAAAATCTTCGATGAAAAATCTTCTACCGTATTCCCCCGGATATACCACCCTAGGGTGCTATGATAACTACACAAAAAAAAGGGGGGGTCTTGTCATCGGAAAAAGCTTCATTGCACCCGGGTCTTTACATAATGTGTATTTTTTTTATAGCGTAAAACGATTAGTACTAAATGTACATCTGTATTTTTGTTTTACATCTGTACTAAATCGTTTTACGCTATAAAAAAAATACACATTATGTAAAGACCCGGGTGCAATGAAGCTTTTTCCGATGACAAGACCCCCCCTTTTTTTTGTGTAGTTATCATAGCACCCTAGGGTGGTATATCCGGGGGAATACGGTAGAAGATTTTTCATCGAAGATTTTACAAGGGAAGCACTTGCATGTAAATCATATATGTATGTATACATATTCTGAAAGAATGTGGGTAGGTTGGTTGAAATTTCTCTAACAGAAAAAGGTCATGAACCTCCCCATTTTGTGCCCACTCATTTTATTAATTTTCATGTTTCAGCTCTTTGTGTTCTGGCAGTCTTATGTTTCCGTAATAATTCCGAGTTGTTTGTTACATGCTGCTTGTGCTGTATCTCGATCAGACTGTGTTGGTTTGACGGATTGTTGTGCTTCCAGCGGTGTGGGGTGCTAGCGATTTCCGTCAAACCCAAGGCAGTAGGTGGTGACCTGGCGAGTTTGCCAGGTTCGGACCTGCTGCCCAGTCTTGTGATTTGCTTCGGGCCTATTTCGTAGGGTCGCGACTCACGAGGCCCCAAGTTGGCACTGTTTCTGCTAACCCGGGGCCCCAGTCTGATCAATTCCCCCAGCCGTTACAGCTTCGTTACTGCTGGCTGGTGCCAGCACACAGCTGCTTGCTAGCGAAACGGCATCCATCCGATGGGGTTGAGTCAAATATCATTTTGTAGAGTAGTGTTTCACAATATAGCTGAATACAGATATTAGACAGCGAAGTATAGCTTACCGCGTCAGCTAGTATAGCTGTCCACTATGTGAAAGTGGTTCACCGCCGCTGAACCTAGACTGGTCTGGTCAGCACTGTTGTGGTGCCCGAGTGTTTGTTGCATCGACGGCTGAGAACAATTGGCGTCTGACTGTGCGCCATGATCCATGGACCTGCATTCGTTCGCTGCACAGCCCCTTCTGACATGAACAGGTTGTCGTCGCACAGCGTCCTTGTGCGACAATGGTACACGCGGTCGCCCAAACTCCCCTCGGTGGATGGTGTACACGTATTGTCGCACGACACACCTAGTGGTGTGATGTGATGGAAAACTACGTACGATCATGTGGTTCTGTACGTTTTCTCTGGGTTCGCATGGGTGGCAACGAACCAGTATGAAGCTGAACCGTCTGTGCGATGCGATGCGGGGGAGTGGAGGGGCGCGTTTGGTTTGGACGACCAACGTGACGACGAAATTTCCGAACCCAAAAATCGCAAGTGTTCTGACGAGGGCTCCAGCGCAGCATGTTTCTGCCCCACCGCTCCGAACCACACCACACGCACCACTCCTCGCTCCATCCACCCCCTCCCCCATCTACTCGCCGGCGCTGCTCGCTTGCTCAGCGCTCCCCCACCGCTAGCCACCTCCCCCGCTTCCGCCCCACAATTTGCTTCCGCGAGTGCAAAAAGCCATGGCTTCCTGTCTCGCCTTCATTCGTACAAGCAACAAGCCAGAGCCAACCAACCACCATTGCTTGTGAATTTGTAAGCCTTTTCTCCAGACGGCAAGCGAACATCGTCAGCTAAACGAAACCTTTCCCCGCCGCCATGGGCTACAAATCGCCCGCGCTCGCCGTGATTTTCGCGCTGCTCCTCGCGACGTCGCTCGTGTCCGCGGATGTGTCGTCGGAGCGCCTCATCGACGAGGTCCGCGCGCTCACGAACGCGCTCAAGAGCCGCCCCAACTTCTCGCTCATCTACCTCGCCGCGAAATACGTGCTCAAGAAGCAAGGTCCGTGCGCCGCGGCGCTTCTTTTGCAGCGCAATGCCGCTTGTCCCGTGCTGTTGTCAACCATCGGTCCATAGCCCAATCTCCGCATTTTCTCCACCTTCTCTCTGCCTCCCTCCTGCCTTCCCCGCCTCGCCACGCGTTCCCCCATCTTCCCCCACCTTCCCCCACCTTCCCCCGCCAGACTCTCTTCTCGCCAAGTACGGCGCGGACGTGCTCCCGAACGCGGAGAGGAAAACCCTCCTCATCCCGGACAACACCGCCGTACTCCGCTACTTCAACGGCAAACTCCCCGATACCCAAGAGGAGGTGGAACAGCACCTCGACACGGTGCTCATGAACGTGCTCGACGGGTCCTTCACGCTCGCGGACCTCCGAAGCGGCTCGTCCTTCCCCACGGTTTACCAGGACCGCGAGCTGGTGCAGATTGATGTGGGGAAGGGGTGGCTGAAGCGCGGCACCGGCGTGGCGCTCGGGCAGGCGGGGTCGGGCAGGAAAACTTGGTCGCGGGTGAGCGACCCGGGGATGTTCAAGGGCGATTTGTTCATCGCGCATGGCGTGACTAACGTGCAGAAGCCGTAGAGGGGAGGGAGGGTACCCTCCTGCTGGGAAGGCTCGGAAGATTTGGAGGTTTGATTTGGTGTTTGCGTTGCTCAGTGTAGCAGTTGTGTTGTACAGGAACATTTCCTATATTGAGGGTTTGTGGACAAGCTATTGGTGGGGTCCATACCACTAGTTCCCTAAATTAGAGCATGTGCATTTAGATTTGCATACACATAATATGGCCATGCCAAACAAGGACAGTATCATGTCTTGTTCATAGCCTCAGCTTCAGCAGCAGCCATAGGATCAGGTGCACCAGGCCCAGCATCCCCCTCCTCTTCCTCCTCCATGCTTCTATCAGCGGCAGCGCCACCCTTAGGGGCATTGGCAGCAGCTGCAGCAGCAGCTTTTTGCTCCTTGCTTAGCCGCTGAATCTCCTCCTCCTGCTGCTGGCGCTCAAACCACGTGTCCGCGTCCGCCCACACTGGAGTTGGAGAAGACATGTGAGGGAAGGTACACGATGTGGGGAGGGAGGACGGATATGGGAAGAGAGGGAGGGAAGGAAGAGAGATGAAGGGGAAGGATGACAAAGGGGAGGAGGGGAAGAGGCGATGTGAAGGACGAAGAGGAGACACAGGAATTTGGCACGTAAGTGCAGCAATTTGCACAGAAAGGCAGCGAAAAAGGAAGTCACAAAGCGGAAAGGGCAACAGCGAAGCGGGGGTGGGGTGCAAGCCTGTGGGGTGGGGTGCAAGGCGGTGAAGTGGGTTGCAAACCGCATGCTTGGCACGCAGTAGCCAACACCTTTTCCTTGAGTAACGTGCACCATGAACCTAACTAAAAGCCACCAAAAACATATATTTGCGCCCAAATGGTGACCCGTTGCAAGTCCCATCCCAGCCCTCAAGTCTGAACATACAAAACCCCATTGCTTGCAGCCACGGTAACCAGCTGCTTTTCAAGCCTAGCCCTGACCAACAACATCCCTCCTTCCTTTAACGCAGCCAAATCTGGCTGCAATGCTCATTCCTCTGCCATTAACGCCACCGCAACTGGTTGCGAGGCCCAGCCCCACTCGCCGCCTTTGATCTACTGGGGCTGCTCGATGTGAGCACTCGCCCGTTGTCCATGAATTTAAGCAGTGCAAAAGGCCTGAAAGGGCTTGCACGGCCATAAACGCCTTTTCCTAGGGTACCCAGCACCGAAAGCCTTTCTGCAAGCCCCATGAGCAGCTCCCTGCGCCCAAACCGCACCTGGTTG